GTGGCCGCGGATGTTGGTGACTTCGGTGCCTCGCCACTGACAAAGCTGGCGGGCGGTGACCCTCTTGTGATACCTCGGAGGTATGAAGGAACCGTAAGGACATCCGCCCAGAGCCTCGAGGCGCTTGGACGAACTGCGATAAACACGCGGTATCCTGGGATTAACACATTGCCCGCATTGTCTTCGGCTAACTGACTCTCCCTCTCACCCCCTCCCTCTCTCTCTCTCTCTCTCTCTCTCTCTGTGTATGCGCGCGCACGAATATATGTATGTATACATATATACGCGTACACGTCTATCCACGGGCGGACATAAATATGTAACACCAGCAGCGACTGCTGACGAGGATCGTTAATTACAGTCTCGCATTCATTTCGAGCTTAATAGTCGTTGATTAATGCCATAAAAACTTAGCTCTGCTTACGACTGATTTAATTAATAACTAACTCGCATACCAGTATGAAGCGGAAGTGGCATATTGTTTCGCGTTTATCCCCGCTCGCTCGCGACAGCGATTGTCGACGCGATCCCCCGTGATTTCGTAACGCGGAGAATAAGTGGGCAAGCTTCGGCGGGGCTTTGCGCTGAAACTTTATTTTCAAACATCCGGCCACTCCGCCGAATATCTAACGAGGTCTTTCGAATCGGAAGGCGCAATTAGCATCGCTTTAGATTTCCGCTCGACTACTCCGATCCGCCTTTGCTATGAAGTCGGACTGGTTTCTGATCTTATAACGATAATTGGGTAATGAGTTGGCAAACTAAGTAGACATACCTCCGGGCCAAAGTCTCAGGCTGCATCGTCGGGGAGCGAGACGGAATCAAACCTCGAAGTTTAGGTACGATTCGCTAGTATGCACCGCCGATCTCGCTTGAGAACCATCGGCTGGACTCTCCTTTCCTCTCTCTCTCTCGCTCTTTCTCTCTCTCTCTCTCTCTTTCTCTTTCTCTTTCACACTCTCGGCTGTTTCCGTTTGCGCTAGTTAGAGAAGCGGTACGTTCGCTTACGAAAGCAAACTTCCATCGGAGCTTCTGCAGACTTGCGCGGCGTAGCGGGTTTCTGCAGAGCGACGAAGCGGGCGTGAAGCGGGCGAGGAGGGCGCAAAGAGAGATTGACTGTGGAAATTTCAAACGTAGCCGGATAGGGAGCGAGAAGGTCTCGCCTTCTATTCCCCAGCGAACTTTAAATATTTGAGACGCCATATATTTCCGACGTTTTATATAACGTCCATAAAACATGCAAACGCACTGAGTAAATTACGAAGTACACCGGGAACAAATGCTGGGATACGTTACTAGTCACGCGAGCAGTGTGTACTCGTGAGAAGAAATTATAGCGAAGGTTGTATTAAAAACGCGCTAGCTTTTCGCAAGGTTGACCTACAGTGTCTTTGCAAATCAATGACGATTTGTTTCGTACGAGAAAAAAACTTTCGGTATCTCGACCGATACGGTTACCGCGAAAATCTGCATTAATTTCTTTAAGTCTAGCAATTTTTGATTGATTAAATTGTAAAAGATAACATTTTTTTTAAGTACTCATAGACACGGTGAAAGTTTATATTACAACTGTGTCTTTTTCTTCTGATTCGCAAAATAATTGATAAAAATGCTTTGATTATGTTCTGCCTTAATGATACGAATTACTATAAAAATCGAGAATCTCAACAATATTAATCTTTTTTTATCATACAGTGTATTTCTTACATTTAATTGCCCGTTCGATCTTGATAAAATCATAATTTGCTTCCGCGTAATGATTTAATTTTATATAACTGAGGGTTCGATGAAGTCGAGTTTAATGGTATTCAATGAACGGATAATACATCCGTAAATTAATTTACGTCCGAAATGTTTAAATACCAGGCGTTCTTTAATGACGTTTCGGACTATCGGAGTTGTATATTTTATCCTCAGAGAGGATGGGATCGTCGATAATCGAGATCAAAAGAGCGTTATAGTTGGCTTTAATGCCGGGTATTCAGAGTGAGGTACAGTGTGTCCCGACACTCGACTTGGGCAAGTTCCAAGATCTTCGCCGCCTCTCCGGAGTGTACGTATATCACGCGCACACGCGCATACAAATTCACGTACGCGCTGGACGTTCGGGACGGTAACCACCGGTGCGCCCCGGGCTCCACCTTGACGTGTTCATGCACCGGTCCTCTCGTAAACTTCTCGAGTGCTCCCGCCGCCTCCTTGGCTATTCGTCCTTCCTCTCCACCCTTTCCTATTTGTTGGTCCCTTCGTAAAACCTCAGACAAAGTGGAAGATCGGTCGAGCCACCCGCTAACCTTTCGACGTCTCGCTCTTGCCCCCGCGTCTTTTATTTCGCTCCCTCGCCTTTTTTATTTATTTTTTTTCGTTTTCTTCATCTTCCTTCTTAGCGCCCAATCCTCCTTCGCTTCACTATGGTGGATCTCTGCCATGTGCCGCATTGAACTCGATGTGCGAGCAGATACGACCTTTACGATCGACGGTCGCTTATCCTACGGGGATAAGATCAAAAGAGTGGTTCTGCATCCCAAGGAGGAAGCTTCCGTCCCGATGGGCGGTTACATTTCACACGTGGAACATATGAATAGGAAATCATGCACGAAAAAGTAATTAGGATGAAAGTAATATTTAGAATATCTGTTTTTAGAAACGCGTCGTTTGTTTATTAAATGTGTCATTAAATTCGTATTAAATATCATTAGATAATTAAAGATGTAAAAGAAACTGTGCTTTCACACATTTATTATTTTCAAAAATATTCTCAAAAACTGTCTATCTTTATCTTTTATTGTGTATCTATTATTTTACAAGATAACAATATTTACTTGTTAATAAATTTTTTATTTTTTTTTGGATAAAATAGTTATAGTTTAAGCATTCTTAATTTACGGTTAACGATTTACTTAAGCAATATAGTAAAATGCTAAATAGATAGCATAATCATAAAAGTTACCTGATTGTGATGTAATTTCCGTTACATTACTAAAATATTATTACATTACAATGCATTAGGCTCAAAAGTTCCATTAGAATTTTGATGAGCTCTTCAGCGTGTAGCCACCTGTTCAACATCGAGAACGACATAGTTCCAATGTAGCACGCTTTTGTGAAGCAGTTCTCCATTCCGGCGCATCTTTATGCGACATTGCTGAAAACGTGACCGTTCCGACGCGTAATATCGATGATTAATGGGAAAGTAACTGCTTCATGCTCTTCAAACACATGATAAGACGGACGAGGGGAGAAGCGGGAACTCGCATTGTATTTACCGAAGAGCAAAGAAATGGTCGCGAATACCCATTATTTTCGCGATAGCTCCGCAATTGGGTGGGTGGTCTGACGTGTTCGCGTACGTGTGTCCATTCGCGACGCGTATTTGCCTGGCTTTAAGATACTTCCATCGGTCCAATTTTCCGCAAGAATGTGACACGTAGCAATCTTGGTAACCTCGGGGCTGTGCCGCACAATTTATTGGCCACCGAGTGCAGCTTCGACGATTTATCTTCCCTCTCCAATCTTCCCTTTCGTCCTCACCATCACGCACTATCTCTTCTTCCTTCGCCGCTTCTGTCTCTCTCGTTTCTTCTTTCTTTTTCCCTCCCCCTCCCCTCCCTCACGTTCTTTTTCCCTCCCGTCCTCTTTTTCTATCCCGACCGCTTACGATCGAGTTGAATCAACGCTGGAACGCTACCGTCTCTCTACCTGAACTCTGATATCTCAAACTTTCGACCTCGATATTTTGCGATATCGACATTTACCGAACTACAAACTCGTGGCCTTGTGAATAATTTAACGCACGGATTCGTAGGATTCATACTCCTTATTTGCCGTTTTAGCATTGAAACGAAATGAAATTTAGTAACGTACAACTCTGTACATACATAATATCAATTTTGACAAATGATCGACTAGCTTCATAGAAAACAAATGATCGACTAGCTTCAATAGAAATAGCTCGTTACATATTATATATATCGTCTAGAAGAATTCGTTACAATGCTTATTTTCAGAAATAATGAAATAAGTATTATTGTACAAAAATAAGTATTACTGCAAATAACGAACGATTTTAGTTATATATATATCAGCAGCTATAATATATTTAAACAGACCACTTATAATTTTAAATGTATGATAAGTACTTTTTAATGATTCTAATGACCAATAATGTAGATATGAATATAACGAATTTTCTATATAAAAAAATGAAAAAGAAATGTTTTTTTAATGTTTTGAATAAAATTTCAAGCAATATCTCTTGTTTTCCAGAGCGAATTCCCAATTAGAATATCATTTGTGAATCATGATGTTTAATTATATTTATCAATCATCTCAATTTATCGCGATTTTTGCGACCGAGAATTACTATTGGAACTAAAATTTTGAAAACTTTCCATTTTGGAGAATTACTGGTAACGGTCAGGAAATAGATAACGAGCGAGCGAGCGAGCATGGAGGAATTTTAGGCTGCGCCGAAGTGCACGTTGCGTGGCAAAAAGGAAAGAAAATCGAGATCTGCAGGTGTAACGCCCGCAGCGACCGGGCGATAAAATGCACGCAGGCTCTCGATGTAGGGAGGATCGAAGAAACCATTCACGATGCCTCGGGCCCGATAAAAAATGCAGTGATCACATTTCGGCAGAGACTTTGGAATCTCCAAACTATCTCGCCTTCTTTAATTCTCGCTTCTTCGTGCCTCGCGCTCGCGTACCCTTGTTTTTTTCGATCAGCGATACCGCTCTCGCCGCCTCTCGTAGCACTCAGCATACGTATGGCCTTTAATATTTTTTTTCACAACGCTTTGATGTAATCGTTCTCGAAAAATTACCTCCGTTTAGGTGGATCAGTCTCGCGACCCGAGTCAACGAACTCGCCGGACGATAGTTTCGGGCGGTTTCACACACGACGGCTGACTGCGTGCGATCATCGATCGCGCGGATGATCCTGCTTATTCGTCCGAGATTTTGGTCGGCGTAACGATAGTCGATTCTTTTTCTTCGCAGTTGCTGATAATCGCGAGGCCTAATCGGCTCGTTCCTTAACTTCGTCGGGTTACGTTATCTCCAAGGAACAATCTGAAAAGGCTCATCGGTTGTAAGGACTTGAAACAAAAGTCGCGCACTTGCCGCCGTGCTCGAATTACGTACAACAAGTGGTTCGCAAGTAAGTATCACGAGGTGCCATAAACTCGATCTATACTCGTGATTTCCGATGTACGGCTTAACGATATAAAGTTTGGATTTAAGAGACTGATTGATCAACTCGAAAGATAAAAGAAATCAGATCGGAGAAATAATTCAAAGTTATATTCTTTCTTCTTTTTTATAATTACTAATTTTTGCAAAACTTTAAATTATTTTGGTTTAAAAATTATTATATAACTTCATTTCGTCTCTCTAATCTTAAAATTTCGAATAAATGTTACCAAAGTAAATTGAGATTTTAAATTTATCACTCGAGTCTAGAAATAATAATTTAATTGATGCGTACACAGACAAATGCGCGAAAGCTTTGGCTCGTGTGTTTCGATCGTTGCGTTGACTTTTATATAATCGCTGGTTGCCGTTACATCGGAAAGCTGCCGTTAGGACGATTATCGATCCATTTAACAAAGGATCCTTCGCATTATCCTCGTAGCTCTGCCAATACGAGCGCAATTCAGTCCGAGACTCCAGGCGGCTGGACGAGCTGCGGCAAGTGTCTGGACGAGATGAGGCTCATGCAAAGATTAGCGATCAGCGGATTGCTGTCCGTGGTCCTGATTCTCCTTCTGACTGGAACCTTGGTGACGCGACGTGATCTCGCGAGTGTCATCGTCGATCGTGGCGTTGCGCCGGAAGAGCGCAGCGAACAGGTGAATCCAGCCTGGATGCAGGACAACGTGGTCCCTGGGCAGGACGAATCTGAAATTCAGAACAAAGATAACGATAAAGATCGACGTTTAGACAAGCATAAACAGTCTGAGTTTTCGGCGGTTGGACCGCCGGCTGCATCTACACCTGGCATTTACGTTATTAGATCGCCTAATCCGCCTCTGGATGACGTAACTAATCAACGCCGTGAAAAGGTTAAAGAGGTAAGACTTCTATTTTTTTTGCTTTTGTTTTGCATGCCGCGATTTAAAAGAGATGAATTAAAACTGTACAAAAGACTCAGACAAGATCAGGTAAGTGCTTCAATACTTGATTTTATACTAGGTTTACTTTTTTTTTTATTATTATTATTATTATTATTATAGATATATATTTTTTACGTTTGAGGGGGAAAATGTTTTTGTTTTTTACATTCTGCACGCACTGAAAACTATATAGTTTATCTGGAGTTGAAAAACATACATTTTAAGGTAAAATATTCAATTTCCTGTATTTAAAACGTATTTGGACTAACATAGATTTTTCAAAAACTCATTTCATCTGCCGTGTGGTTTTTTACTGCTGCATCGTTCGTCATTGCGGCGTCACAGAAAAGACGGAAATTGAAAAGGATCGTAAGGGAAAACCGATCCTTTGTCCGTCCTACCACATCAATATTCGCGTTTGAATTACAGTGCGGCATGGGTAGAAGGAAAGTAGGAGGAAACCATTTGGGATGGCGAGCATGGATTAATGAAACGAAATTTTCTTAAACGAGATGTAATTTCAGATTAAAAATCTAGCGGGAATCAAGAACAATGAATTTCGATTGCTTTAAAATTCAATGATGTTCAAATCAGACTAGCTTTGTAATTAGCTTTTAATATAATACTATTTTTCGTCTTAAAGAAAAAAAACTTTACTTAAAATTAATCAAAACATAAAAACTCCTGAAATTTCGTATTTTTACTCCAATGTTTATTGAATTACAAATTGACAAAGTATAAATTAATGTGTCAGAGAGAAAATTAATTTCGCAAAATTGAGGCGGAGGCATTAATAATGCAAGGAAATGTATGTTTTTCATGTAGAATTTCAATCCTCGGCGCGAAATTAATCCAATCCTCGCAACATATCGAGTTTACTTCCGAAATGGACAAACGGAACTCAATCAATTAACTTCTGAGCGAACGACACTGTGAAAAAAAAAAAATGAACGACAGATGCCGGGGAAGTGCCAAACTGACTTGCGCGCGAGTGTGTCATGACGTAGTATGACTAAGTCGATTCGATGCAGCCATCTCAATTTGGAGTTTAATCGACCCTTGTCTCACGCAGTAACGTATGACGTGCGGGGTACTCGTTGAAGGAAAGATTCGATTGTAGTTCGATGGGCAGGTTAATTAATTCGGTCATATTCACCGTCATGAAATGGACATTTCGCTTTTGTATCTTGAACAAAAAAAAAAAATTTCAGCTTCAGTTTATTAATAGTTTGTTGCTCGATGTCACCGATATTTTTTGTTGATACCTTTTCCATGATCCATTTTCAAAAACGCGAAAATAGAGAGCACATGTCGAGAATGAAACAGTTCCTCTTGTCACAACCTACTTTCAATAAATAAAATCAATATCCATCTTTAGAGAAAAATACTCTATATAATGATTATATTGATAAAACAAGTATGATGGACAAAATCAATTATATTTATATATAATATTATTAGTTAAATGCATGGTATAAGTATATTTTTTATTGTTTAAAATCAATTAATTGATAAGTGTTACAATTGTTATTCTAAAAGAAAAGGAAAGAAAACCGTAAAATCATAAAACCGTAAAATGATAAGACTCTCATTGCTACATGGTTGCAGTTATAATATTATGAGCGTTTCTCCACCGCAAACTGACTTATAGTTTGATAACTCCAGACTGCAAGTTATCTGTGGATTATATATTGTCCAGAGGCGTTCATTCCAAACGAAGCAATTTACTAGTGGACTGACATAACTTACGAAACGCTCAAAATAGATTTCAATTAAGCTTTCGTGCTCCATTTTACTATATGCGTTTAATCGTGTTCCTTTCGTGTCTCGCGAAATAACCATCCACACGTAAAGAAAAAATTAATTATTCGCAGAAAATCGGGACGGACAGTAATTACATACAATTTACAGGCAAAAGCGATGATTTTCCTAATTGTAAGACTATTTCCCGTAACGACCGTAAAGTTAACGTTACGTAATTTAAGTCGTAAATCCTCAAAGTACCTTCGTTTAATGCTTACTTCTCTTTAGTTGTATAATATAGAGAGCTGGATTTTAGCAACATATCGAACTGTTTAAAAAACTCGAGTTCTCAAATTCGATTATTATAACACGAAGAAATATTTTTCTCGAGTCTTGTTTCTACAGAAATAACTTCAGATATCTCAATAATGTGATAAACATCTGTTATTTCTCTTTATGATATAATAAAAAATTTCGATAAAGCGAGAAAAGTAGATATTAGAAATAAATAGCAAGTTGGTATATCGATTTTGAGTTTAATCGGTTGGTCTCAGAGTTTGAGCTAACGAGTTTATCGAGTTTATCATGGTCGCCTTGCGTTTTTTTTTTTGGATGAAAAAACGCGATGACACTAAATTCGTTTGTGCGACCTGCGAAACGAGGAGAATTGTAATATCGTGGTTCTTGAATAATTCTGAACGGGAAAACGTGGGTAGCCATCAGGCTAATTGTTTTTAGCCGAGCTAATGCAGTAGGCGTGACTGTCTATTATTATGCCGACGCTGATATAAACGCTCGCGTATTTTTCATGCTCGCACGTTTAAGGCGTTTCTCCGCTACGTTTAATCGCGATTATCCAATATTAAATTTTCACCCTTTTGAGCTTGGAATAATCGACGCTGTCATTGATCATGAAACATTTTATACATTTAAGAAAATTGAATAAACATGCCGCAGGATGTCGTGTAAGAAATTAAATCTACGTGCACTTGTTGTAAACGTTGGTTATTTGTTTGTTTGTCGCTTCTACTTTTGTTCCATATATTTTTACTCGCAAAACCAAGACTCAGATTATAGAACCAAAATTATATTATATTAGTTCAAGTTTAAAACAAGAAAAAAAAGCATTTTCTAAATTTATATATTCAAATTAATACTAATAATAGATATTATTAAAAATATTATGCCATTTTATTTTCAAGTTTATTTTATTAATTACAGTTTCCCTTATATTTTAATATGATTTTCTCTGTGCTTTTGATCTCTTCACAAACTAAAATAAACTCATGAGGACAAATTGCATTTATCCTATTTTCGATTAGCTTAGTCAAGTTGCACTATTATCATTCAATGCGAGCCATCGAATTATAGCCATCGATAATTTCCTTAGGCTGCCTCTGAAGCTCCGAGTGCTTCGTTACGATAACGTTCGCAGGATATATCCCTTTTCTCGCGGATTAGCGCCTACAGATATCCTGGAATTCCGCGAGAGGTTCCGTGTGAGCGGCGTGAACGGCAGTCGCGGGAGTCCGACGAAGTCGCATTGTCTGTCGGCTCGTACAAGTTAGGCACAATGGTGGCGGCTTCCTTTAATGAAAGATACTAGTTAAGAGAGGCAGGATAGGATAATGATAGAAGTACGGGATTCGCGAAGCAGAACGAGCAGACGAGGGGAAGCGAAGGTGCGGTTCTCTTCGGAAGCCACCTTCGAGCCCGGGGGTCTCGCAGAATGGGCGCGAAAGAGAAACCGGGGATGCCGGTTCCATCGGTTCCACTTAGCAGAGATTAATTCGCGTTAGTTTGAGGGCTTTTATACAATACGCGGCTCGCCTAACAATAATAAACGAAGCCATAATTATGCTAAACTCCGCTGACGAGTCGTGGGCTCACGTCGTGAATATAGGATTTCGCTGTCTATTGTCATCCCATTTTGCCCGGTCTTCATTCCTTTTCCCTTCCCCTCACCCTCTCGCTCCCATTCCCGCCGCTGCTTCCCTTCGCTCGTGCAATCTTCCTCTCGTCTTCTTAAGAGCAGGAATGTACACGTCTCGGACCGTTTGTACATAGACTCGTTGCATTGCGCCGAGCCCCGCGTCGCAATGTGTTGTATATGTGCCTGAGACGAGTGAAATATCCTGCACCTTTATGCTGCGGTTCTCATAATGTCGCTCTCCCACTCGAAGCGCACGCAACACGTTGCATGAATATGCATTTATACTTCTTTCTACTGCGCGCTTAGTTTCAATTATGCAATGGTGCCAGACTTTACGCGCGAGACATTCGCGCGACACACACACACACACACACACACACGCGCGCACACACACACACACACACACGCACACATTGAGTATACTTAATAAGTAAATTATAAAGTGATAAGAAATTTAGAAAGTCGATAACATTTTCGTGGATGATAAATTCTTTATAACAATTTAGACAAAATCAATTCAGACGAAAATTGATTTGCGAAAACAAAAGGTTAACAGAAAAACACGGATAGCGAAGCACCACAAATTTGATTATTAATCAATACAGATTTGCGACATTTTTTCACGCAATGCGAATCAAGCATCGCATGAATTTTTGACTTCTGTTCGCGACGTCGCCGCGGTGACATTCGCACGAGCAACTTTCGCACGTTATCATATTTAATTACGGAAATACGTCGCAGATCTTGCCACTTGCGTTTTAATGAGATTTAGTAACGACTGGATGTTATAACTGAGCGCGCTCTGTCATAATTAGGAGCGCTGACTCGGATGCATCAGGGTCTTATATCAAAAAGATGCGTACGCATACGGAAGATGATACGCTTGCGTGAGATTCTCGGAACTACACAGAATTTTGCGCAATTTAACGGCTGACGAAGGTTAATAGATGTTAAACTTGGTTGTACGAAGTATCTATTCTCGCGCGATGAAATACGTATCGTTAACAAATATACGATTGAAAATCTAGCGAATATCAGATTGTTTTGTAGAACGATTTTGTTTCATCACTTTGCGTATTTTCTTCTACCTGTTTTTTTTTTTCCACCGACTTCGCTTGTCTCTGCATCTGTGTTTATTCTAATCAATATTCAAATTTTCTTCTTACCTACGAAGATGCAGCGTATTCGCTCCTCGCCGCTTGACGTTGCTCGGGCGCGGTTAGACTTTTATGACGTGCGCGGAGCGTTTCTGAAAGGCTTCATGACGTCGATCTTCGCGCAGGCTCACTTCACCAACAGATAAGAAAGGATATATCAGTACACGCTGTTTCCGATTGTGTTGGGCGCACATCGCTCCACATGTGCGCGCGTGTGCGCGCGTACGTGTCGGAATACGTTGACGCGGAAGGACGCGGAGAGAGTTGGGGGTGCTTTCACAAAATCACGGTGGGACGCCGACGCGGCGGGACGACTGGGACGTTCGTGGAGGGCAATAAATAACGTAAATTGAAAACCGCGGGAAATAAAGAGAGGAAATAAAAGCGGCACGGTTAAGTACACTTATACGTGCCCGGTATCGGCGATACACCCCGCGCGCGCGCGCGCGCGCAGAGCCCAGCGCAGATGCGCATTTGTGTGCATCTCCCCTGGAGTATCCAAAGCTTTCGCTTTGTTTGTGTACCATGCATACTCAATCGCCTGACGGAGCACCGTTCTCTCCTCTTTTCCCCTCCCTCACCTCGCGCGGTCCCTTTTCGCCGAGGTGGAGCTGCTGCTTTTCCTCCCTTCCAGCGTGCATTTTGTTTATTAATGGAAATGCGTGGAGCGCAGGCAATTTGAAAGGATATTTTCTCTCTCTCAAAACGCGAGAGCACTCCCACGAGTGTCCTGCAGAATTCATATCGTCTGCGATGCGCCAACATCGCGGTTCGTCTACGCGCGAGTGATGCGCACGCGAAAATAATGAATTTATCTATAAGCTCGAATTAATTAAAGGCAAACTCGGAATAAATGCGAGATTAATAATAAACTCCAGGCATTTTTCCAAAGACTTGACGCATTCGGGTGAAAAGGGAGAAATATCAAATCCCGTATAATAATACGTATAATAATTTTTAGTTGACTCTCTAATTATCTCTCGAATGCGCTCCAGATGTCCCGGCGTGCTACTGTTGTACATAAATAAATAAATATAAATCTCGCATAAGTTTATGCCGTTTAAAACGGACATCTCGTTCGCGTACTTCGCACGCCCGGCGCGCGGCGTTTTTCCGAGCCAGTGCTTACTGCTTAACCGCATTAAATGGTTTTAATGGATTACTCTTGGATTACAAGAGCGAAAAAAGAAACGCCGGTCTTCCGGACGCGCCGGGGAGAGAATCCGGTTACCACGGAAGTGACGTAACAAAGGGAGAATAATTGAACAAGGCCACACGTCCGACACGAGGTTTTGCCTCTGTCCACCTTGCGCCTGTCCCCTTCCGCGCGCTGTCCCGCTCCTCGCCGCTTCTCTTCGATCCGCCGACCGACACCGAGGCTAATGATTTAATCCTAACACGGATGTTAACCAGATTACCGATTACAGGTCCACCGTGGGCCAGCGCACTCGCCGCGGTTTTCTACGGAACAAATTATCCACGCGATTACGTGGATAATGGCGGAAGGCGTTGAACGCCGCGACGCGCCGCCGTCAACCCGTGCGATCGTCCTTTGCAATTTTCTGCATCGCCAGTCCGCCGCCTAAGCCGACGTAATAACGCGACGGCGTCGCCTTACGAGCCCCTCGGAATTTCGCATCTTTATCGCGACCGCCATTGCTCCACCTTATCGCCAATTTATCTCGGTGATCCGAAGATTTCTATCTTGCGTCAGACGGTTTTAATGGAGTTTACCATAACTGTAAAACAAACGTGTTGTTCCCGTCTAATCTTGCGATTCTCTGTCGCTAAAAATCGCGGAAAATCGCAGAAAATTGCAGAAAGTAAATCCGATTTGCATCTTAAGAATCTGAAGAACGCGAATGGTTTTAAAATGACACGCGTTTCTCTTTTATTGTCACTTCGTAGTTCTCCGCGCTCTCTAATTTTCTCGCCCTTCTATTTTTTTTTTTTTTTTTTTATTACAACCGCAGTCGATGAGAGAGGAGGACCCACTCTTCTGACGGTGCCACTGGCCAGGTCTTTTCGATATTATATTGCCTCTAAATTATGCCGTCATAAAAACGTGATGAAGTGACCACGACTGTGCTCGGCAAATGGTTGGAAAAATCAAGAGGAACGGAAATAACGGTGAACCAAACGGCAATATATTTATTATTCACGGAATAGCTCACGTAGCACGTCCTAGAAACTCAATGTTTTCAGTGCTTTCACGTAGTAGAGAAACTTGAAAATTTTTAAAAATATCGACTTGTGTTTTTTTGCGTATATTTCAAATGGATTTTTTTGCTACAGCAATTGATACACGATACCGAATTCCCGCACTAATCGCTCGTCTCTTATTTGTTTACAGATGATGAAGCATGGTTGGGATAACTACGTGCGATACGCGTGGGGGAAAAACGAACTGAGGCCAATCTCGAAGAGAGGTCATAGCGCCAGTATCTTCGGAGCCTCAAATATGGGCGCGACTATCGTCGATGGACTCGACACTCTTTACATCATGGGTCTTCACGACGAGTTTAAGCAGGGCCGCGATTGGATTGCCGAGAATCTGGACTTCGATATCGTGAGTACCCTTTTTGATTTGCATATTTTGCATATATTCGCAAGTTTCTTATCAGCGTAACGTATTTGGAACAACGCTGAGATAATCTCGGAACGTTAAGATAATTATAGTACGCGCATCAGGACGGTGAAGTACGAAAACATTTTAACAATCACGAGATAAATCTTGCAATAAATTATTTAGGGACCCTTTAAAAGTCGATGGAATAATTTCGTTTTATACCTCAATACATTGATAAAAATATATTTTTGTAAAACTCATAACGCGCGACAGATTTAGCGCGCGCATATTACTTTTAATAAATTATCTGTCAGATGTTCGTTTTAATCATCTCGGATCTGGCTGACGCGAAAGGATTTCACTATACCGAGTATATCTTTTACCGTGTTGACTTTATTCTCTCTCCTTTCAGAAAATTGAAATAGCTCTCCCGTTTATTAATTTTCATAAATTTAACGTTTTTTTCGTCAAAATGTAACATAAAAGTTTATGCAATAGTTGTCATATTTTTTATTCTTTAAAAAAAATTTAATATTTTATATGACATGAAAAAATAACTATTGAGTGCAGTATAAGTCGCGAACTGTATTCTAACAAAATTGCAAGCGAGGAATATATCTCCCGCGTATATCTCTTTGAGGAAATTCCATGGCTTTTTTTCCACGGCTGCGAAGGTACAGTGATGTCTGCCTAAGTGGCGGTATCACGATGAAAGTTCGACATTCGCCGACACGCGTCGAAACCAATTTCGTCCTGAGTCAACTTACCCGATGCAGCCATGTCATCGTCTCCTTTTTCGCAGACCCCCAACGGAAGCGGAACTTTTGATATAGGCTTGCGTCTGCATACACTATTCCTTCGCCGCATCATCCCTCCCTTTACTTTTTCGTTATCGAACATGCCGGAAATGTGTTTGCTCTGTCGAAGAAAGTCCCGTTCTGACAAGACGTCGAAGACACTTTTCGATTTTCTTCTGGCGCCTGATCTATTCGCATAAAATGTAATAAAGAAGTGAAATAACATCGCTGTAAATATCTCGCAGCAGACTTAAATAATAAAACACGTTTTGTTTCTTTTTTAATTTACGATAACTGCAAGTATAAATTTTTTTTATCGCGATGCAGCACGTAAAATAAGGTTGAAAAAATAATAGCACAACAAATTTTTTCGTAGCAAGCTAACTTTTACGGTGACTTTGAGATAATCCTTTAAAAATTGTGAGCGTCTATTTCTTGTCGCCAAGTGGACGCGTCGTGATCTTGATGAAGAACAAGAATCTTATCTGTGGAAAGCAGGACTACGCTGAAGTATCTAAAATTCCCCTGGTTCGCTCCAATATTTTCTCGATAAAATATCACGGCGGAGCATTTTGTAGGACACGAATTGTCAGCTTACGACATGAAATATTCCATTGCGACGTCAAATATTCATGCAACGAATTGATAATATTTAAAGGAATTATTTGATAATGCATAGCATTTTGCATATATTTACGCGAATTGAAGAACTCGTTTATGTAGCTTAAGCTCTCGAGTACGGCGATACTTATCCATTATGACTTAATAATATTATGAAAATCGATATGATACTTAATTGAGATCGCTTCTCTTTTATGCTAGTTAGCTATATATTTATCGACTTAAGAAGTCAAGTCACTCGTGAATTATTAATTATATTTTATTCAATTTCTAATATATTTAATTAAATGTAAAAAGTACAAAGAAATCTATTTTGTGGAGGATATATGTTTTCTGTACTTGGTACATTTAATTGTATATACGAGTAGAAGAAAATATTCTGCACAAATTATTCATAAACAGCATATGAATAATCGTGCTTTTTAACTTTTGTCGGTAAGCATATTTATTTTGTGAAACGTTCTTGCCGCTAGAGCACAAAAATCAATAGCTTCCGAGGATATGTTACCTTCAAAGGAACTAACAACCAGCACACTTAAACGCTTGATTAACCTAATCGTTATGTAAATCGATGCCCGCGGTATTTCTCTGTCGGTGCGTGCGGGAAGAATAAACTTGAACGTTTTCGTGTGGCAGTTCTGTAAGTACCGAGCCAGGAAACTTAGCCCGGTTTATCCAAAGTTGGTAACAGCCTCCTGCACCCTCCGGCCCCTCGAACTCTTCTCTCGCGGTGTTACGTCGGATTTCTAAGTGGATAACTTGCCGTATTAGCTGCTTTCGGCTTGCGGTAACCGGCGTGTCAACCGTGTTAGAAGTTATGCCTATTGTTTCGCGGCTGCTTCTGAAACTCTTTCCATGGTGTCGTTTTGCCTGCAAGAGATGCAAAGTTACGTTAAGGAATATTAGATACAAACTTCGCGTCTCTTATCCTTCCATAACTCGTTCGTTTCTATTTGCTTGCTTGTACAGGAAATGCATTGAGAGTTTTCGAGACATTTGCATTAAATTTCATGAAATATTTATGACAAGAATTTCGTTACTTTCATTGCAAATACTCGCATTTATAATTACAGAGCTTCTTTTCTAGAAAATTTTTCAGAAACACATTTCAATGGCACGAATAAGTCGTATTTATACGCATTGAACCATTAACGTTGGAAAATTAATGTTGAAAATATATGCGTCACATTATCAAACTATTCAGATATTTGTGAACAAATTTATTAACATTGCGCTTCGCATTCTAATATACCTCACTGTCGTCACGCAGTGTCCCGGGACTAATTAAAATTAATGAAAATAATAAGGAAGAATTTGACTTTGAAGTCTGTATATTTCACGCGCGTTCAATAATAATGATAAGGGACGAAATTAAAAGGCGCGGCACGGTAACGATTCATCTCGGTTATTCGCATCCGGTCAGTGAAATAAATTTTAATGGCCGGTATGTGCGAGCTGGCCAAAGGAATACCGTGCAATATATCGCCTTCAATGAGATTTATACAAGAATGAAAACAGCGGCGAGTGCGCGGCTTTTGCACCGGCTAGGTGGGAACCGAGATCATGAACGGGTTATATGGACTTGTCCGCGATTCAGACGGGCGATAAATTCGGGAGGGAAGCCGTATCCGAAGGGGCCTAACCGCTTCAAGTATAAAACGAAGACCGGCGTCCACGTATTATACGCTGAGGAGGCACCGTGCACATGGGAGGAGTGAATGTGCGAGGCCACCAAAGTCCAGTACCTGACGCACACCGCCATTTCTCGTTAATGCACAACCACGCGGGATTAAAGAAACGAAAAAAAACGGTGAAATATACAGATTTTATACGACAATGGAACGTCGATGTTGCTGTCGGTGTAAGACGCTGCATTCTCGCGAAGGCTTACTAAAAGTGATATTGTAGCGAACTACAGTTTCCGAACGTTTCTACACGTGCTTTATAATTATTGACATTTCCCATTATATTGCTACCATCGAAAAGAGTGATATTGCACAATATTTTTGCGATTTTGCAATAATATCAGCTTTCACAACGTACTTTTATATCACTTGCATTTGCATTTATGTCATGCATCACGCATTTGCTTTTAGTAAACAGACGATATTATAAAAATATTTTTAGTCGCTAGCTTCTTCGTCTGTATATATATTTTTTAATTTTGCCAAGTTGAAATCAGAACCACCATCTAGAAACATTATGCGATTTTGCTTTGCAATTTCCCTGGGGACGGAAAAATACTTAACTAAAAGCTGCTTATTAGCGACGGTCGTGTATCTATTCTGTAAAAGCTTACGAAAAGAGTTGAAGATAATAAACATATTTTCATAAATTGTGTTGATGAAGTCGCCGCTGAGTTGTTTGAGAACCTTTCTGTCTATTTTAAAACCCCATTTTATCAGTTCTAAGCTAACTTGATACAATAATAGCACAATGAATCTAAAGATGAAAAAAAAAACAGTAAGAGGAAAATATTGGCACTAAATTTCATATTTATTTCTGCTCCTTTATAGCATTTTAACCATTTCTATTTGTGCACCTTGAATAATAAATATCTCATAAGCAATCTGTTTATATAAAAGTTGGCACAAAAATTCATAGAAATATGCAAATTATAAAAAGCATTTCGTGGTCGTATAACAACAGAAAATATATGCAATAATTATTTTATAATGAATGCACACATAATGGTTACTTTATATAAATTAAAAGGATTTAAGACAGCTAATGAATTAAAAATTAGTTGTTATTGTACTTTAAGTTATTACTTATGATTTATATATTCCATAAATGTCTAATTTTTACAATTTAAATTTGTGCCCAAGAATAGAGAAAATAGATATTTTAACAATAACTTTATTTGGACGACAAACAAAAAAAGTAGATCTTTTGCAATTTAAAGTTTCCTTTTTTTATACAATAACCGTGTTAAAAATATTAGTTTATTTATATCCATAGAATAGTGATCGATTATCAGAGATAATCTGAATTATTCGTATAATGCAATAAATATTTAATTATTCTTTTATATTGTATAAATTGAAATAAATAAACTGAAACAAGAACGGAGCTTATAAGAGTCGCTATGTCGATTCCAGTTAAAAATTTCAATGGTTTAAAATAGTTTCGTGATTTATTAATTCAATATCGACCTCAATTCACTTCCTCTTGCTTCCAGAGTTTCATGTTAGACGTTTTACTATTATTACTCTTTTCACAAGGATTGATATCTATGTGATGTTTCACCGCATAATTAAATTGTTTATAAATACAACAATAGAGTTTGTAGCAAAACCAGATAACATTTATCAATTACAGAAAGTTAAAAAATAAGGAGCGATATCTTATTAATATAATGACAACGGTATTTAAAATATAGCGTTCAACTCTTAACAAAGTATACACGTGCAACATTTTATCGCGATTATATACAGTGTGTCGTGCGCATTCTTCTGCTCAAATTTTGATATAGTGCGTCGTAAGTCGATTTTGAGATAACATTTTGCTTCTGGCGATGCTAATCCATGTATGTCGGTTTTTGCCATTTACAAGAATGAACATTTCGACTGCCGGCCGCGATACGCGCGAATCGACATATCGACGCACGCCCCCGCTATTCGACATTGAGCAGATTGCGCTCGGCAGGTATGCTGGTAACTCTCGTAGGGCGGGACGGAAGGAAGGAAGCGTACTGAGATATGCGAGGTGCACGTAGCGCTCAGTTATGCCACATCTCGTCTAATAGCGCAATGCATTTAGCTATAGCACTCGACGAAGAGACGCATACATCACGAGCTGATCCCCATTCTGCCTTGTATGCACGCTATCACGCGTGTAATGTATACTTGTGCACGCGTGGGTGAACGATGTTTCATACAGCTGTTGCGCAGTCGTCTCAAAAAGTTCATTACATTGGAATACCTGCAAATATTGCTTTAAATTAGCACGATAAGATATGCGATAACAATTGTGATGTATATTAAAACTAATTGTACATTATAATATTATATAGAAACTAGATGAACGATATCTGTGTCCATAGCGCGAAAGAAAAATATCAACTATTTTATAAAATATTTTGTTAAATTTATATTTATATCTAAGGTTTTTAAAAGGAGATTTTAAGATTTTCAAACACATCAAATTAATATTTTATGAATATTCGCAAAATATCGGTTTCTTATAAAAAAAATGTGAATTCTAAAATGCAGAGTTTACCAAATTTTACAGTATAAAATTTCAGTGCCTAAAATTCAATAAAATATACATTTTAACATTCCGAATTATTTCTAAAATTCTAAACCTAAAAATGTTACAATATATGATTCTAAAGACTAAAAATGATTAAAATGTACATTTTATTCATTTTTGTGCCTTAGAATCTTATATCATATTATTTGGCCTAGAATTTTACTGTGATGTGTTGAAATTTTATATTTTAAGGGAAAAAATGGCGTAGAATGTTAAAATATACGTTTTATTCACTTTTATACTTTTATACTTTATGTTTTTATATCATAATATTGTTAGGTTAGAACATGTACGTTAGAATGTACATTTTCTTTACTGCGTTACATTGAAATTTTACATGTTAAACAAAAAAATGGTCTAACAAAGAATTCTAGAATATAAGATTTTAATATATCGTAGTGAAGAAAATGTAAATTACAATATTGATAACAAACCTTTTTTAAGAGGGGACGAAAATATCGGTTTCTTATAAAAACACGTATGTCTTTTGATAACTTACAGTGTGAGCAAATAAATAATTAGAATTTAAGTGTTGTAAGTCACAGCGAAAATAGAATACTTCAACTTGGAGATAGTTAGTTAGTTTTATGACGTTTTCTGAACATGTTTCACGAAATCTTCGCGACGTGTATGTTGTTTGCGTAGAAGCATTTTACGGGAAAATACGGTTGAGAAAATTTACTAGGACGACTAGCATTCGTAAGTCGTAAAAACGTAGTAAAAAACACTGCAGCAAACATGGAATCTTTATGTGTTACTGCATTTTTTCCTCAGTTCTTTACGATATTTATCACTCGTGCCAGGTTATTGTTTCGACAAGTGAATATACACACATATATCTATGCGCAAGCTCTTTATTCAAATAATATTTATAACTAGAATTTTATTATTCCTTTTATTATTAATATAGAAGATAGTGTTATCAATGTAACGATATCAACAGATAGTATAAAGAAGAAATGTCGAGAATTTCTCTAATATGTTGCAGATTATCATTAATTACGCATAATTTATATAATGTATGTATATTACAAAAGTTTAACTCTTAAATAATATTAATTTGTTTATTCTATTATTTCATTTATTTTAAAATCGACGTGTGTTTACTTACAGAATATTTGCTGAAAAGCAAATGATCCGATATTCCATAATTATATGATCTGAAGTATCAATTCGATGTTTCGAGGCAAAATGAAATGCGCTGATTTCTGCATGCATTGTTCAATTGTGTGCGGCAGTTTTATCTATTCTCTGTAAAGACGATTATTACAGCTCTGCAAACTGAAATAAAAAAAGGAATCAATTTTTGAAAATATATTTTTTTTTGCTTCAATGTTATATGATAATGATATATTATCATTATGTATAACTTATTTAGTTTTTTTCTTAATTTGCCACATAAAGAGTTAAGAGATATGTTTAAAAAATTAATCTGTGCATTTTTTTCTTTGTGATTGAAAGAGTTTTTTTAATTCAAAGGAAATCTGATATTTTTTTAATACTAGTACATTGATATTCTCAATTTTATGAAACCATTAAATAAACCCCATCTGCGACAGTTACCTACACCGATAGAATGCTTTTTCGATCAACAAAAATATTTTTATTTGGTAGTATCAGGCATAGCTGTAATCGTTATGATTCGTATAACTACATTTATGGCTACTGAAACACTTTTATGATATTTATGCAGCATACTTGCGAATTATTTATAAATGCATTACAAATACATGAGTAGAAAATTTTTATGGTTACCGGGATTGTTCAGAAAGCACAAAAATAATATAAATAAAAAAACATTTATTACAAAATTCAATAAAAATATTTATATTTCAATTTTCTATAATTGATCAAGGCATTTTGTATGAAATTTGTATTCCAATATCATAAAATTTTGCCGCGCGTACGCAACCATGCAGTAAAGCGATTTTATTTTTCATCGTCTTCGTCAAACTTGTTACTGGTCTTTAAAAACAAAAGTTTCTTCAAAAACAAAAACAAATAAAAATATATATCGCTCGGAGCGAGATCTAAATTGTGAATGGAATAGTCTACAACTTTCCAGTTGAAACTTTGGAACCATGCAATGAAATACCACTGCGTGGCTGCACGTGCAGACGTCGGAATTAATATTTATTGTGACAGCTTTTCGATATTTTAAACAAGGATATGATATTTCTTAAAAGATTTTTACTATTATTATAATATTATTAATATATTACATTACAGAAATAAGACGATATCAATAATTTCCCAGCGTTGCTGTTAAACACACTATTTAAACTTTCTTCACACATCTATGTTGATATTTTTTTAAATAAATAAACCTTTAGTTCGTCGATATTTTCAAGTTAATAATTTCACACGTATCCTGTGGGTATTATTCTGATGTTATAACGCGTACAACAGACATAGTTGCAAGACGTATACCTTCGGAAGGAAAACTAACACGCAACGGTCTACCGCTCAAACGATGAGAGATCCCGCGTTGCGTCACGTTTGCGCAATAATACTTCGTAACTGCTGCTATTCCACCCCTGGAAAAACCTCGCGATTACATTGAACATGCAATTTGGTTTGGTTGTTTTATGTTGCGTTCAGCTTCTCAGTAATTTATGGCATGCATGCAGTAGCATCGAATGATTCAACTAATATTACTTTAAAGACCGCTCGGTCGTAAGCTAATTTATAAATTGACCTTCCTGTGTTCGATTCTCCGCAATGCCGCGTATTATCATCATCATAATGCGGAAAATGGATGCAATAAGATTGTGAGAGCTGATAAAATATTCCGTAGGTGGTAGAACCACCAATCTTTGCAAATCTTGCAATCTTTGCAAATCTTGCAATCTTTACAAATCTCTGTGCGCAAAATCGCAGCAACCGCCAATCGAAATGGATTTCTTCGACAATGAATACTACGGGCTCACCCGGCATCTAATGGCGTCGATCGGTCTGTGGCCTTACGAGAAATCAGAACGTCGAGTCATTCGAGTGTTCTGCGTATCTTTCCTTCTCGTTCAGGCCGTACTACTTCAGGTGTCTCTAATCATTGAACCGAATGTCTATAACAAGTGTGCTTTGTAAATTCAAAAGAAATTCTATACGATATTTAAAAGCGGGTTCTTAACTGCAGTTAGATCTGTGTCTATCGAATTTGTGAATCGTAGGATAGGTTGTGAGTGAATGTTCGTGATGATTGTCTCAAGCTCTAAAATTGAAAATAAGTTTTGGGATACTGTCAAATTTTATCTGCGTTTTCAGAAGCTTACATATAATACCAAAATTATCTCTAAGATACAATGATTATGGGTTTGGTGTATAATTGCAGAAACATGATAAACGTTATATTAATATATAATAATTTTTTTATACAAAAGTTTGTATTTGATTTATCTAGGAATTTTGTTTTTAGTTGGCAACATTTATCACGCACGAATATAGTACGACGCTGTTTATCGATGTCTTTTCATTTAATATTCTTTGTATAATTTATGCCCTGAAATACAATATAGTATATTTTAATTTAAATCATGTAAGTCAGTTAAATCGATTTCGAGAGGTTGGAGTTTTAAAGCGACATTTTTAAACGTTCGAAACTTTAAATACTTATTGTTAACAATTATAGGTAAAGCAACTCTTTGATAAAATCCGACGTGATTGGAACTCAATAAAAAACATAGATGAATTGAATATAATACGAAAATATGCATACAAAGCAAGATTCTATACGATTTTCTCTGGCTGTAAGTTAGAAAATCCGATTTTACATATTCGTGTATTCTTGATTATACTTATATTTTATGGAACTAAATTGAAATAATTAAATATTAAATACTGTGAAAGAAGAATCTATGAGATGTTTAAGAATGAATTACCTTTTAAATAATGAAAATATTTACCATTAATTATCCTAAATATCTTTTTAAATATGAATATTTGCAGTGATCGTTTACCCGGGAACATTCGCCTTTATTTTAACGATGTTTATACCTGATGTTCTCGATATTATAGCACCGTTAGACGAACCTCGTCCGCGAAAATTGCCGGCTCAAATAGAATGCTTTGTCGATGAAGAGAAATATTTTTATTTGATCTCGTTCGTATTTACAATATGCGCTTTTTTGGGTATGACGGTACTCATGGCGACGGAAACAATGTATATGATATTTATACAGCACGCTTGCGGACTATTTGAACTTATCAGGTATTGTAAAATTTAATATTTTTCTTAATTAAAAATATTTTTCTAGCATTTAATTCAAATAGGCGTTAAGTATTTTATCGATCGCAAGAGAATTTTATTAATAAAACTTTTTAATTAATATTTTTATTTATTTTTTATTAATTACATTACGATTATAGATTGGAAGTTTCTAATGGCATAAAGATATAATTGTATTTTTATATAGCTATCGCTTGACAGATGCGTTTAATACAAGTTCGTCAAGAACATCAGTACCCTTTAAAAGCAATTTTTACATAAAATTATTAAGTGCTCTTAGCATTCATCAACATTGTTTAGAGTAAGTGCTTGACATGCAATACTTATAATTTGTGCGTAATGTAAGATAGAAAATATATAATTTTAATGACATTTTACAAAATAGTTTTGTAAACGTGAAAAGATACATCTAACTCGCATGTCACTGATAAATACTATACAAGTCAGCTATTTTACTTATAACATAAATTATTGTATTAATGTTTCAAGATTTCTCGAAGATATTCAACATAAATTTGCAACATCCTATTTTGTTCTATGCGGGTTTGGTGTGGCATCGTTGAGCATTAATATGTTTCGCGTGAGTTTGTTTGAAACAGCATCAAATGTAGTGTTTGATAAAACATTATAAATAATTCGATAACATATCGTTTATTAATCACAGCTTTTTCTAGCAATGTCTATGCATGATATGTCCGAAATTATTTTGACCGGTTTATTTGTATACGCTCACTTTTGTTATATATTTTGGATGAACTATTTTGGGCAGGATATAATTAATCACAGTGAATGGTTTTTTCAACAAATGTGAGTATATATCTTGGATACTATGCAAATCTTTGCTTTCCAAAATATATGTATGTACATATATCTTGCATATTACAAAACGCGTCTGAAAGACAGAAAAAAGTAATTTTATATATTTGTAATTAGTAAAAGTTTCTGTTATTAATTTATCAAATAATAGTTATATGAAAATAATCTGTTTAAATAATTTTCCGAATTAGTGATTTTAATTGTATGTATAGATGCAACACTCAGTGGTATATAGCGCCGCTACATATTCAAAAATTATTACTTATTACATTACAACGCAGCATGAAGAATAGCAGTCTTGTTATTGGCAGTTTATTTGTTCCGTCATTAGAAGGTTTCGCCACGGTAATATTGCATATATATTGTATTAACAAATTTCAATTGATCGATTATGTAAAAAATTATTTTTAGTTTTTTTTTTAATGTATTTATAAAAATAAATAATTTAATGTTTTAATAAGAAAAAACGATATTTTACTAAGAATATAAAAAAATTTAAGAAAATATAATTTTACAAAAGAAAACATAGGAAACATATTACTTAATTAAAATAAAATAATGTTAGAATGTGAAAAAAATTTTTGTTTTAGCTCTCCAGCATGTCAATGTCTTATTGCATGGTCTTATATTCAGTTCGTATATAATTATACAATACATTTACATTTATACGATAAATGTAACTATCAGCACAAAATTATATGAAAATGTAAGTACAGTAGCACTATTAGTAAGAATAAAAAATTGGATTATTTAATTAGACAAATAAAAGTATAGCAAAAAACGATAGAGATAATTATTTTATATAATTTTTAATGTAATGTAAAAATATTTTTTTAAAAACAATCTACAGTTCAGGAAATCTGACAGTAAGATATACAATTTTATATGATAAAATTTTATTACTAACATTTTTTTATTTAAACAATAAAAATTTTTATAAATGATCTATTATTTTGTACTTGTTATTGCACAATTCTAAAAATTTACCTTAAAAGTTGATAAAAATTATATTTGCAAATATTTCAAACAACACAAATAATTTACATGCATCTCGAAGAATACAATATAACCTTTCAAAAATGTTGAAAATTTGCGGCATTATGTAAAAGCATCAAAATGATAGCATAGAAACACAACGACTATGCAGCGAATATGCAGATTCTGTTTATAGTATAAGAATCTATACCAGCCGGCAGTTGAAAGAATAGTGAAATATAATACAAACAGTCAAGTGCATTGCGTCTTCGTCAGAAGAAAAGTACAGTAGTTGTTTGTGAATTATTTATGCTTCATAGATACGATCGAAATTCCATAACGTATCATTAAGTTAATAGATGTAGATTTTCCACGCCGTTACTGAAATGTTCCGACTCGCTTTTATCGTTCAACTTCATTTTTTTTATCCATTGTATAGAGGGTTTGGAAAACATATATATCATTATTTGGTAATGTTAGATAATATTACCAAATAATTTTTTCGTTCTACATATATCCTCCTCGTGAAGATAATAGCTATATAGCTATATAGCTATGTAGCTATATAGCTATATAGCTATTATCTTTACGAAGGGGATATATGTAGGACGAAAAAATTATTAAATGAGGAAAAAGGGGAGAAAAGAAACCGTAAAGATGCTTTTCATGCATACAGATGTGTTTTAGCTTTTCGCGAGAATGGATGTGTACGACGATCGATTCTACGGGTTCACTCGACGTTTCATGATTTCTGTTGGGCTTTGGCCTTATCAGAATCCAAATTACAGAAAAGCTATATGGGTATTTGTATCCATGGTTTATATACAGGGTATAATATTTCAGGTAAAGGACGCTTATATACTAGTCAGCCTTCACTCGTATGTACCTTAATAATATTGTTTACAGTATATGACTTTCATTACACGTCAGTACAATTTGAAATTGTTCATTGAGTTAATGTCTTTCAACACTTTATTATTTTTTTTCATTGTAAAATATAATACGATTTATATGAACTTCAAAAACGTAAGTTGAAAAATTCTTTTAATTATTACAATGAAATCTGTACATTAGCAATTTTTTATTATATTAGCAATTTTATGATATTGATGTTTCTTAACAATCACTGGTTAAAGAAATATATTTTTCTTACTCGTAGTTTTTTCTATCACAGGTGAAATTTTTATTGGAACAAATTAATTCTGATTTTATTGCGCTAACGGATACCCAAGAAATTAAAATAATACAAACATACGCTTCTAAAGGAAGAATGTATACTGTTTATTCCGGAAGTTAGTAAGATAATGTTTACGTTTATTTCAATATACTATCAGACCTGATTATTTCGCATAACTTAATGTGGAACAATCAGGCGTATTAATTAAATATTTGCAGTACGAACTCAACAAACCGACGCTCAAAATAAATTTCTTTTCAATTATTTCAGTGTTCGTTTATTTAGGCGTATTAACTTTTCTCTTGACATTATTTGTACCAGACATCCTCGATTTTGTAAAACCGCTTGATGAACCTCGTCTACGACAACTACCCACTCCAATAGAATGTTTTATTGATCAACAAAAATACTTTTATGTAATAGTGTCTGACATATGTGTGATCGGTATCGTAGGGAGCACAACGTTAATGGCGAGTGAAACAATGTTCTTGATAGTAATACGGCATGCTTGCGGGTTATTTACAATTGCAAGGTAAACAGCTGATCAGAAAGATGTGTATTTTAAGTCATTTTTTGCTGTAATTTACCAATTGCTTGTGAGATCTTATTTTGGCAAAAAAGTAATACATATAGAATTTCGATTAATTTAAAAACTTTTTTAGATTTATTTACAATAAAACGTTTTGAGTACCTACATTGATTAAAATTTTTCAAAATGTTCGTTATATTTATTTTTTAAAGGGAAATGCAGATGCAACGATACTTTATAATTCTTTTCGTTGCGTTATAAATATGCTATTATATATCGCATATTTTACATACATTTATTTTACATACATATATTATTAATAAAATTATTTTTATTTTATATATGTTGTAAAGAATAATAAAAAAATTACGAAAATTATTTTTAATTACACATTTTATTATTTTTTAAAATTAATGATTAATAATATACTAGAATTGCATTTGAACATTGAATAAACATTTAACTTTTTCGGCACGTACATCAGGCCGCGGCTCTTCGCCCTTTTCCTTTTTTATAAAAATGTTATCCGTTTAAACAATATTTTACTTAATATGTTATTCAAATATTTACAGTTACCGCATAAATCATGCATTTGACGATTACAAAAATGAATCTGTTATTAAAGCAAAATTAATACGCGCTATAAGAATTCATGGACGATCTTTAGAGTACGTATCTTGATTTTTGTATTTTTAATATTTTTATTATATTAAATCTGATTGCTTAGACGTATCGTATTTATATTTCGATCAAAAATGCATATTAATAAAAATTTAAGAATGTATGATTACGATATTAACCAATACATATTTTTGTCAAAAGTTTTATATGAGGTAAGTCAAAAAGTAAAGAAACATTAAAAAATTGAACTTTTTAAAAAGTTTCTTGACTTGTTTACTTTCCTCATAATTCTATAACGACAATTTTAATAGCGAAAAATTAATTGGTTGTTTCTATTAGTTATTCACTACATTAGTTGTTTGTAATATATATTTTTAAATAGCAAAGCAAAATAATTTCTTTTCATGTATTTATCATACTATTGGACATCATCATGTTAAATGTTGAAGATTCATAAAATTTGTGAATTCCTGTTTTTCTTTATACTATTTGCTTGTCGCAGGAATTGGCGTGCTCTCTTTAAGTGTCAATTTGTTACGAGTAAGTAATATTTGTTTTTTTTTTTGTTATTTAATACTTTCACGCTTAAATTGGTTATATTTCAAAATTGTTGAATTATGTTTAATAATAGTATATTTAATTTTCTTTAATTTATCATTGTGTATTGTTTTGTTAAATAGTAAAAAATTTATATTGCGAAAAATCTGTTTTATGTACATTTAAGTGATTAAGTTTTGTATAATTTATGAATTACACGCGTAACTATATTACAGTAAGTGTGAAATTATTAAGATGTACAAATGGATGCATGATGTCTGTATGCTTTTGCTCAACTTCCAGTGATGCATAAAAAAAAAGAAATGTAGACTTTTCGCTAGATGCAATGGACTTTTATATATTTATACATCTATTTGTAAATACAGTCTAGGATTTGTTTCAGTTGTTTCAAGCAATCGAGAGTAAAATAACTGTCGACATATATGTGTCTGCTTTATATGTTTGTACTCATTTTAGTTACATATTTTGGGTGAATTATTTTGGACAAGACTTGTCTGATCATAGTGAAAAAATCTTTAAACAAACGTGAGTATCGTGAAAATAGAAATATAAAAAATAGAAATAATTAATTATTCATGTATTAAATAATCTCAATCTTTTTTATTCAAAATAATATTTTGCTTTTTTTGTAATATTAAAATTGAATATTAATTAATAGGCAGCTTGAGTGATGTGGCAATACATTTATAAAGAATATTTATTAAAAGCTTAAATCTTTATATTTGTTTAAAAAGAAAGCATTATTGTCATATCAAAATGTTTCTATACGAGGCTATATTAAAATTTAGAACACGAATGAAAAAATAAGTATATTTATTTTTATTTAAATATTTAGATACAACACACGGTGGTACAAGGCTCCTCTGCGTACTCAAAAATTGTTATTTATTATATTACAAAGATCATCGAAAACGTGTACCGTTGATTTATTTAGCAGTTTACAAAATGCGTCGATGGAGGGTTTTGCTTCGGTAATAATTTTACAAATTTATGTATAGCGTAAAAGAACAATATAACGGAAACTATTTTCAGATCGTTAGTTTATCAGTGTCTTACTTTACGGTGTTGTATTCGATGTGAATATGATGTAGTAGATGACGAAAGCAGGCTCAATAGTTATGAGATTAAAGAGATTAAAAGAAGGATTCATTCTGTTTCTTGTCGACTGATTTAAACAAAAGTTTTAGCAAACTCCAAAAATACAATTGCATTCGATATATAATACGTATCAAAATACCTAAATTATATCCTATTCAGCTAAAAAAGAGTCGCTACAAGCGATTCGTCTATTAACGGGAACAACTGTCACAACAACACGTTTCAACTTGTTACTTTTGTTGTATTAGAATCAATTTAATATAGGCATTTTTTAAATTGCAACACAAGACAGTTGTTTCCGTATACAATAGATTTCTTGTTAGTATTTAGAATATTTTTTTTATTATTAAACTTAACAAAAGACTCATTGATTTATTCACAAATGGTTGAAAATATCTGTTCTATCAAGAGAGAATTATAGCAAAGACTACAGAACAACTACGAGAATATAACTAACCAAGCACTGTACTTCAAGTTACACGCTTGCCTTTACTTCAGATACAAAGAAATTTACAGCTATTGTACGGTGTGAAAAAGAACACCCGGGGATATAATCTAACAGTAATTTATTTAATTATATTATTTTCTCTTATTTACGATAATATGCTGTTGTAAAGAACACATTGCTGTTTCAATTTCTGACTTTTAAGTAATTTTTCCTTTTTTTCATCGCACTATAATAACTTTATGTATAGTATAAAGCGAGCACAATTATTTTATT